ACATGTCAATGCGGTATCCCGAGGGGACCAAACCAGCAACACCACTGCCGTGCTCCTGTGTGGACTGCCGTGCTCCTGTGGGGTTTGCCGTGATCCTGTGTGGTCTGCCGTGCTCCTGTGCGGTCTGCCGTGCTCTTGCGGGGTTTGCCGTGCTCCTGTCGGCTCTGCCGTGCTCGTTTTGGGTCTGCCGTGGTCCTGTTGGGTCTGCCGTGCTCTTGTGTGGTCTTCCGTGCTCCTGTGTGGTCTGCCGTGCTCCTTTGGGGTCTGCCGTATTCGTGTGGGGTCTGCCGGGCTCCTGTGTGGTCTGCCGTGTTCCCTTTGTGGTCTGCCGTGCTCCTGCGGAGTCTGCCGTGCTCCTGTGTGGTCTGCCGTGCTCCTTTTTTTCCGCCTGCCGTGCTCCTGCTCATTTTCTGAGGACGTCCCGAGCGAAAACGTCAGTTTTAACATAAGAGTTTCTAAAACACCTCTGTCGGCATCTCATTTTTCCGAGGATGTCTCGAGCGAAACGCTCATTTTTCATGCATAACAAAAATTTTTGATATTTTTCAACATCCCGATTTTTGGAGGATGTCTCGAGCGAAACCGTCATTTTTGACATAATACGTCGGAAACGATAGCCTCCAACACCTCGATTTTTCGAGGATGTCTCGAGCGAAATGGCCATTTTTGGGAATCCGCCAACGAACGGCCCCGTGCGATCCCGCAACCCATAGATATAAAGATATATATAGATTTACTCAAGGATTCAGCCAGAACGTCCCGCTTGCTTCTCGTACCTCGAAGACGCTTCCCGTCATCCGCCAACGAACGGCCCCGTGCGATCCCGCAACCCATAGATATGAAGATATATATATATATATATATATAGATTTACTCAAGGATTCAGCCAGAACGTCCCGCTTGCTTCTCGTACCTCGAAGACGCTTCCCGTCATCCGCCAATGAAAAACCCCGTGCAGCCGCAACCCATAGATATAAAGATATATATTATATATATATTTTACTCAAGGATTCAGCCAAAACGTCCCGCTTGCTTCTCGTACCTCGAAGACGCTTCCCGTCATTTTTGATATTTTTCAACATCCCGATTTTTTGAGGATGTCTCGAGCGAAACCGTCATTTTTAACATAAAACGTCTTCAACGATAGCCTCCAACACCTCGATTGTTTCGAGGATGTCTCGAGCGAAATGGCCATTTTGGGGAACCTGACCGGACAAGAACGGGAAGCGTCCTCTTGTCCCCTGGGCTTATGAGATATTCCACGTTTTTAGTACGGCATACCACAGCAGTGCCACGTACCACTGCCGTGCTTCTTTGGGGTCTGCCGTGCTCCTGTGGAGTTTGCCGTGCGAACGTGTGGTCTGCCGTGCTCCTGTGTGGTCTGGCGTGCTCCTGTATGGTCTGCCGTGCTCTTGTGTGGTTTGCCGTGCTCCTGTGTGGTCTGCCGTGCTCCCGTGGGGTCTGCCGTGTCCTGTGTGGTCTGCCGTGCTCCTGTGTGGTCTGCCGTGCTCCTGTGTGGTCTGCCGTGCTCCTTCTTGGTCTGCCGTGCTCATGTGGGTCTGCCGTGCTCCTGTGCGGTCTGCCGTGCGAACGTGTGGACTGCCGTGCTCATGTGGGGTCTGCCTTGCTCCTTTGTGGTTTGCACGGCAGACCATACAGGAGCACGCCAAACCACACAGGAGCACGGCAGACCACACGTTCGCACGGCAAACTCCACAGGAGCACGGCAGACACCAAAGAAGCACGGCAGTGGTGTTGCTGGTTTGGTCCCCTCGGGATACCGCATTGACGTGTTGCTGGTTTGCCCCCCCCAGGATACCTTCTTGACGTGTTGCTGGTTTGTCCCCTCAGCACCTTCTTGACGTGTTGCTGGTTTGCCCCCTCAGGATGACTTCTTGGCGAGTGGCTGGTTTTGCCTCAGGGTAACTTATTGAAGTGTTGGTGGTCGACCACCTCAGCACCTTCTTGGCGTGTTGCTCGTTTGCCCCCCTCAGGATAACCTTTGACGTGTTGCTGGTTTGCCCCGTCAGGATAACGTCTTCACGTGTTGCTGGTTTGCCCCCCTCAGCATCTTTTGGACCTGTGGCTGTTTTGCCCCCTCAGGATAACTTCTTGACGTGTTGCTGGTTTGCCCCCCCCAGGATAACTTCTTGACGTGTTGCTGGTTTGCCCCCCAGGATAACTTCTTGACGTGTTGCTGGTTTGCCCCCCTCAGCACCTTCTTGACGTGTTGCTGGTTTGCCCCTTCGGGATAACTTCTTGACGTGTTGCTCCTGTGGGGTCTGCCGTGCTCCTGTGGGGTCTGCCGTGCTCCTGTGAGGTCTGCGGTGCTCTTGTGTGGTCTGCAGTGCTTCTGTGTCTGCCGTGCTCATTTGGGATCTGCCGTGCTCGTGTGGTGTCTGCCCTGCTCCTGCGGGATCTGCTGTGCTCCTTGTGTCGTCTCTTTGGTCTGCCGTGCTCGTGTGGGGTCTGCCGTGCTCCTGTGTGGTCTGCCGTGCTCCTGTGGTCTGCCGTGCTCCTTACTGCCGTGCTCCTGTGGGGTTTGCCGTGATCCTGTGTGGTCTGCCGTGCTCCTGTGCGGTCTGCCGTGCTCTTGCGGGGTTTGCCGTGCTCCTGTCGGCTCTGCCGTGCTCGTTTTGGGTCTGCCGTGTTCCTGTTGGGTCTGCCGTGCTCTTGTGTGTCGTGTCGTGCGGGGCCTATGAAGGCTTAGAAGAAGCCCGAGGCCCGCGGAGCCCATTGGCCCCAGGGCCTCAAGGGCCAGCCCTGGGGGCCCGAAAGGGGCCACCGCAGGGGGGGCGCGGAGCGCCAGACGCCCGCCAGGGCCAACGGGGGCGCCTAGGCCCCAGGGCCGCGGGGGCGGGCAGAGCCGAGAGGCATGCAGAAGCAGCGAAGCTGCACAGAAGAGCTCACGTACACATACAAATACAAGAAATGCGAATGCACGGAGCAAACGGAATTAGCGTCCGCACGCAAGGCCAGCAGCGAAGCTGCACCGATAGCTAGCTCACGTACACATTCAAATACAAGAAATGCGAATGCACGGAGCAAACGGAATTAGCGTCCGCACGCAATCTGGACGACCTGCAGGCGGCCTTCGAGGATACGCTCACGCTCCTCGGCATCTGGCCAGCCTGCAGAGCTGGGGCGGACGCCGAGAAAGCGGGCCTCGGCCGAGCTCAGGAGTGCCTCAACTCCCGTCTTGGGCCCAATGGCCACGCACAGCACCGCCGCCACCGAGAAATCGTCCAGGAAGAAAAACAGGCTCTCGCTGAACGCGTGGCGGGAGGCCGGCTTCGAGAGCACCTCCCGCTCGCCCTTGGGCTCGGTGCCCTCCTCCAGCGCTCCCTGCCGCTCGGACAGCGCCGCCAGGTCGCCCTTCTGCGAGACCAGCTGCTCGGAGGTCGCCTCCTGCGCGCACGGCCGCTGCAAGAGCACTTCCAGCTCGCCCCTGGCCTCGGCGCCCTCCTCGAGCGCGCCCTGCCGAACGGACAGCGCCGCCAGGTCGTCCTGCAGCTCGACCGTGGGCTCGGCGCCCTCCTCCAGCGCGCCCAGCCGCCCCGAGGGCGCCTCCAGCACGACCGTGCCGTACTCCTCGAACGCGCCCTGCCGCTCGGACACCGTCGCCGCGTCGCCCGCCAGCGAGCCAAGCAGCTCCGAGAGCGCCTCCAGTTCGGCCTGGGGCTCGGCGGCGTCCTCCAGCGCGCACAGCCGCTGCGGGAGCGCTTCCAGCTCGGCCGTGAGCTCGGCGCCCTCCTGGAGCGCGCCCTTCCGCCCAGACAGCTTCGCCAGGTCGCCCTGCAGCAAGCCGAGCTGCTCCGAGAGCGCGGAGCTAGGCGGCGTGCGCCTCGCGTCGGCCGCCTCTGGCAGCTCACGTCGCGGCGGGGCCGGAGGGGAGGGCCGCGCGGGCACCTCGCACACACAGATCTCGACCTCGCACACGACGGCGGCCGCCGCCCCCCGGCCGAGCACGCCTCCAAGGCGCGGACCCGCCGCCGCCCAGGCCAAGCCAGCCCGCGGTGCCGCCGCAAACCCCGCTGCAGGCGCACGAGCCGCGTGCAGGGCCGTGTTCCGGCGGAATCTCACGGCCCCTGGCACGGGCCGGCCGCCAGAGGCCAAGATCAGGGCGGGCCGAGCGGCCGCCTCCCTGTCCTGCCACGAACCAGGCTCGGCAGCAAGCACGCCACCCGTGAGGCCCGCGATGACCTCCCTGAGGCGCGCGACCTCCTTCTCCAGCTCGCCGGCGCGCGCACGGGCGTGCCGCACGGCCGCATCGGCCGCGGCACGGGCTCGCCGCGCAGCCTCGCTGCGCTCGCCGCGCGAGCGGGGGAACCGCGGGTGGTCCCCTCCCGTCGCCATCGCTCCCAAGCACACGCTGCGCGCGCGCGCCCGAGCAGGCTTGAGCCAAAATGGCTACGGACCGTGCTCTTGTGTGGTCTTCCGTGCTCCTGTGTGGTCTGCCGTGCTCCTTTGGGGTCTGCCGTATTCGTGTGGGGTCTGCCGGGCTCCTGTGTGGTCTGCCGTGTTCCCTTTGTGGTCTGCCGTGCTCCTGTGGAGTCTGCCGTGCTCCTGTGTGGTCTGCCGTGCTCCTTTTTTTCCGCCTGCCGTGCTCCTGCTCATTTTCTGAGGACGTCCCGCGCGAAAACGTAATTTTTAACATAAGAGGTTGTAAAACACCTCTGTCGGCATCTCATTTTTTCGAGGATGTCTCGAGCGAAACGCTCATTTTTCATGCATAACAAAAATTTTTGATATTTTTCAACATCCCGATTTTTTGAGGATGTCTCGAGCGAAACCGTCATTTTTGACATAAGACGTCTTAAACGATAGCCTCCAACACCTCGATTTTTCGAGGATGTCTCGAGCGAAATGGCCATTTTGGGGAATCCGCCAATGAAAAACCCCGTGCGCCCCGCAACCCATAGATATAAAGATATATATATATATATTTACTCAAGGATTCAGCCAGAACGTCCCGCTTGCTTCTGGTACCTCGAAGACGCTTCCCGTCATCCGCCAATGAAAAACCCCGTGCAGCCCCGCAACCCATAGATATAAAGATATATATATATATATATATATATTTACTCAAGGATTCAGCCAGAACGTCCCGCTTGCTTCTCGTACCTCGAAGACGCTTCCCGTCATCCGCCAACGAAAACTCCCGTGCGGCGCGGCAACCCATAGATATAAAGATATATATATATATATATACTCAAGGATTCAGCCAGAACGTCCCGCTTGCTTCTCGTACCTCGAAGACGCTTCCCGTCATCCGCCAACGAAAAACCCCGTGCAGCGCGGCAACCCATAGATATAAAGATATATATATATATATATATATATTACTCAAGGATTCAGCCAGAACGTCCCGCTTGCTTCTCGTACCTCGAAGACGCTTCCCGTCATCCGCCAACGAAAAATCCCGTGCAGCGCGGCAACCCATATAGTTAAAGATATATATATATATATATATATATATTTACTCAAGGATTCAGCCAGAACGTCCCGCTTGCTTCTCGTACCTCGAAGACGCTTCCCGTCATCCCGTGCAGCGCGGCAACCCATATAGTTAAAGATATATATATATATATTTACTCAAGGATTCAGCCAGAACGTCCCGCTTGCTTCTCGTACCTCGAAGACGCTTCCCGTCATCCGCCAGCGAGGTGCGGGATGGAATCGGCACCCCTTAATTAGAGAAAATTAAGCCCCTGAACCAACGGTGCACGCCGGAGGCGCTTCCCGTCATCCGCCACCGTGCCTGCACGGACTGGGCGTGTTAGAGTGCTCGCCTGCTGTCTCGGAGGTTCTGTCGAGCTTTAAAGGACCCCCCCTCACCGCACGCGCCCCTAAAAAAGCACCCATTCCGAAATTGCTTTCTGGCGGTCTGGTCGGCCTCCAGACGGCCAAGGTGGCCTCCAAGACGGTTGCCAAGACAGCCAACACGACAACAAAACGGCTCAAGATGGTCCAAGACAGCTCAAGAGCCTCTCAAGAGAGTCTCAAGATGGCTGAAGATAGCCCAAGAGGACCTCAAGACGGCCCAAGAGGCCCCCGAGACGGCCCGAGAGAGCTACAAGAGGCCTCCCTGAAGAGCCCGAGGGGGCCAAAACCATTGATGTTCCTCCGGTTGTTGAAGGGTATTGAGGTTCTCGCCTGTTCGGGTTTCCGACCACCCAAGACGGTCCAAGAGGCTTCCAAGAGGCCTCCAAGATAGCCCCAAGACAGCCCAAGAAGCCTGCAAGAGGACGGCCCAGAAGCCTGCAAGAGGCCCCCAAGATGGCTCCAAGACAGCCCAAGAGGCCCCCAAGAGGGCCCGAAGTCGGCCCAAGAGGACCCAAAGATCGCCCAAGGGGCTCCAAGACGGCCCCAAGACGGCCGTGAACAGCTCTAAGAGGGCACCAACGCGGCCTAGAGGGGCCACGAAGGCTGCCTTCATAGGCGTCAAAGCCCAAGAGGCCTCATGAGGCCCCCAAGAGGCCCCATGAGGCCCCAAAGAGGCCCCGACGAAGCTTTCAGGAGACCCCCAGGAAGCCTGCAAGAAGCCTTCTTCTCCTCATCCTCATTTTCTCCCTCTCATCCTCCCTCCTCCTCCTCCTCCTCCTCCTCCTCCTCCTCCTCCTCCTCCTCCTCCTCATCATCATCATCATCATCATCATCACCACCACCGCCATCACCACCACCACCATCATTATCGTCATCAGCATCAGCATCATCATCATCATCATCATCATCATCATCATCATCATCAGCAGCATCATCATCATCTTATTATTATTCTTCATCATCATCATCACAATCAGCATCATCATCCTCATCAGCATCATCATCAGCAGCATCATCCTCATCATCAGAATCATCATCAGAATCATCATCTGAATCCTCATCATCCTCCTCATCCTCCTCCTCCTCGTCCTCCTCCTCCTTCTGCTCCTCCTTCTCCTCCTCCTCCTCCTCCTCCTCCTCTTCCTCCTGCTCCTCCTCCTCCTCCTCCTCCTCCTCCTCCTCCTCCTCCTACCTATCGACCTCCAGCGTCCAACAGCCCCGCATTCCGACTTCCAGCATCTAGCATCCGACTCTCCACTCCCACCTCTATTTATCGACTTCCGACGCCCACCAAATCAGCATTCCAACAACCAACATTTAGCATCCGACTCTCGACTTCTACCTCCACCGATCGACCTCCACCCTCCACCAGCACAACATCCCGACCTCGAATTTCTAACCTCCGACTTTCCGTTTCCACCGCCAATCGACCTCCAGCTTATGTACCTTCGGCTGCGCGTGTATCTGCACCCTGAGTGGTATCTGAAGGATGTGACTGGATTGGAATTCCGAGGCGTCCAACTCGTTCGTGTTCGGCTTGGGCTTTGCGGTTACAGAAAGGACGATGGCATCCACGGCATTCTCCGACAGGTTCATGCCACAGACATTACGACTTCAACGAAACTACGTCACTACATCGGATTACAACAGAGGGGTGGGAACAATTGGAACATCAACGTGTGAGGTACGCATTATCCTGAGCAAGCCTCCGACGCACGCTGCCTCGCATGAGAGGCCATGGCCCCACCCGCCTCGCCCTTAAGGGGCCAGCGCGCATGCCCGCACAGGCGATCCGATCCGATCCGATCCGATCCAATCCAATCCAATCCAATCCAATCCAATCCAATCCGATCCGATCCGATCCGATCCAATCCAATCCGATCCGATCCGATCCGATCCGAATCCTCCTCCTCCTCCTCCTCCTCCTCCTCCTCCTCCTCCTCCTCCTCCTCTTCCTCCTCCTCCTCCTCCTCCTCCTCCTCCCTACCGCGCGGACGAAGACGAGGTCGGGATCACGACCCGCCCCAATGCAGACTACTCGGTTTGAATTGCGGTGTTTCTACTCAGCCTCCTTCCTGATGTGCTGTTGCACAGGCACGGTGGCGGGGTTTGTCGCAGGCAGCTGGATTCGCCGGGGTGCCTGGCGTGCTGAATCTCATACGGCTTGGTTTTGGTTCTTTTTCGAAAGGAACTTCCCCTGGGGTTTCGGCACAGCGCGCCGGCCACCCAGAAGCCCCGGAAAAGAGCGCGACAAACAATCTCCAAGACGGCTCAAGATGGCTTCTAAGATGGTCACGTTGGCCCAAGATGGCCTCTGAGATGGCCCAAGATGGTCCAATTGCCTCCCAAGTCCGCTGTAGAAGCCACCAGCACGGCCCAAGATGGCTCCACGATGCCTCCGAGTCCGCCCAAGCAGCCTCCAAGATGGCCCAAGACGGCCGAAGAGGCCCCCAAGACGCCCCCAAGACGTCCTCCAGGAGGGCCCGCAGAGGCCAGAACCATTGGTGTTCCTTTGGTGTTTGAAACATGTTGGCATGTGCTCCTTGTCGGCCTTCCGACAGCCCAAGACGGCCCAAGAGGCCCCCAAGATCGCCCCAAGATGGCCCCAAAGGCCTCCAACATGACGCGAGAACGGCCCAAGACGCCCCCAGACGGCCCCAAGAGGACCCCAAGAGGGCCCAAGAGGCCTCCAAGACGACCAAGATGGCCTGAAGAGGCCTCCAAGACGGCCCTGAAGCACCCCAACAAGGCCCAAAGTCGGCCCAGAGAGGCCCCCAAGACGGCTTCCGACGACGTCAAGCGGGCCAGGAGCCCACCAAGACGGCCCAAGATGGCTCAAAGATGGCCCAAGACGGCCCACGAGGCCACCAAGAGGTCTTCAAGACGGCCCAAGAGGCCTCCAAGAGGGCCTCCAGGAAGGCCCGAAGAGGCCAAAATCAGTGAGATGCCATAAGTAATTCTAAGAATTGGGTAGTTGCTTCTTCTCGGCCTTCCGATGGCCCGAGACGGCCAAAGAGGCCGCAAGATCGCCCCAAGATCGCCCAAGAGGCCTCCAAGATGGCGCCAGAACGGCCCAAGACGCCCCAAGACGGCCCCCAGAGGGCCCCAAGACGGCCCCAGATGGCCCCCAAGACGCCCAAGATGGCCTCCAAGACGGCCCTGAACACCCCAAGAGGGCCCCAAGTCGGCCCAGAGAGGCCCCCAAGACGGCTTCCGACGATGTCAAGCGCGCCAGGAGCCCACCAAGACGGCCCAAGAGGTCTCCAAGACGGCCCAAGAGGCCTCCAAGAGGGCCTCGAGGAAGGTCCGAAGAGGCCAGAATCATTGATGTTCCATCGGTGTTTCTAGGATTTGGGCATTTGCTTCTTCTCGGCCTTCTGATGGCCCCAAGATTACCCAAGAGCCCCCAAAGATCGCCCCAACATCGCTCAAGAGGACTTCAAGATGGCGCCAGAACGGCCCAAGAGGCCCCCAAGACGGCCCCAAGAGGGCCCTAAGACGGCCCAAGAGGCCAAGACGCCCAAGATGGCATCCAGCACCCCAAGAGGGCCCCAAGTGGGCCAAGAGAGGCCCCCAAGACGGCGTCCGACGATGTCAAGCGGGCCAGGAATGCAATAAGACAGCCAAAGGGGCCCCCGAGAAGCCCCCCAAGGCCCCCAAGAGGCCTCCAAGAGGCTCCCAGGAAGCTCCCAGGAAGCCCCAAGAGTGCCCCCAGAAGCTCCCAAGATGCCCCTTCCTTTTTCCTCCTCTTCCTCCTGATCTTCCCTGCCATCCTCCCCCAAGTGTTCCCCGAAGGGTTTCCACAAGGGCTGGGGCAACACATGGTCCGATAGCTTGGCAGAGCTCTTGCCACAACGCTCGGCCACATGGGCAACTCCAACAGACAGGGGGAGGCGGCGATTCGCCGTAGGCATCTTCGATACATCGATACATTTGAAGGTACATGCGGGGGGGAGCGTCGGAGCGAGAGCCCCAGTGGTTAATATATATATATATATAATCATAACAACAACAACAATAATAATGATAATCATAATAAATAATAAAATTAAAAGTGATAATAATAATAATAATAATAGTAATAATAATGACAAAAATAATGATAATGATAATAAGAATAACAACAACAACGAAAACAACAACAATAAATGATAATAATACTAATAATGATGATAATAACAAGAATAATGATAATTATAATAATATTAATATTAAAACTCCATCCCTGCGCTTGTGGGCAACACGAAGGGCCTCGGGAGCATACTTGCCGGGTACTAAAGTTTTTGACCATCGGTGGAGAATTGCTTCGCTGGTGCCGCGTGCCGCCGACGACGGAGGAGGAAACAGACATGCCCCGATGCGGGCCCCCCAACTTCCTTGAGCTCTCTGATATCGGATGACCACCCAGTGAAGCAGGAGCAACCGCGTTGGATAAGGATGCCGAGCGCCACGCTGCATCAAAGTGACATCCGCCGAAGCCGCGTGATGACCCCTCCTGGGGCCCGAAGGCCGGGGTCATCGCGCGCCCGTATCGGATGTCTACTTGGAAAAAGAACGCAAAATTCAAAATTCAAACCGATTCGAAAACGCGCGGGTGCGCTTTCTTTGGGGCGGCGACTCAAATCCTAAGAGAAACTTGATTCTGTCTGTGCGGAGTGATTCCAGTACGAGTGGGTCCAAGTCGGAATGCTTTCCCGGCCTATTGTTAGTGGGACGGAGCGATTATCACACCGTTTTAAAGATATATAATTATATTCTTACGGGGTACGAGCCCATCGGCTTCGGACCGCTGCCCGACCGAAAACCTGTCGCTGAGATTCTACGGGGGGATGGGGGGGGGTCGGAAGGCTGACGTCTTATGGTCAAAACTGTAGTACCCCCCGTGTATAAGCGGCGAGGGCGTCGAGAGCGAGACCGCCGGGCCGCCCTGCCGGCACACCTGGACGGTGCGGCAAGAGGCCACGACGGTCCGCCGATGCGCTCTGTCAGTTCGCGACCCGGAGGGCCCGGACCCGTTCCCCCCATGCGGGAATACTGTTGGAGGCCTAGAAATGGGCACCAACACCAACACAGGGGGTTGCCTCCCCAGGGAGAAGACGATCCTCGATTTCGGTGTTGGTGGCAATATTTCGGCCACCTTGGAAGCCAGAATATTACCACCATCACCGAGATCGGGATCTTCCTCCCTCGGTGGATGCACACCGCCGATATGGGTGTTGGTGTCAATCTCTAGGCCTGCGATACTGTCTGAGGATGGTGACATACAGTCGGGGTGTTGACCTGGGGAATCCTAAATAAGGAGCGGGGCCCCTTTTCTCCACAAGTGAAGCTTCGATGTCCCATCGAAAACCTAAGGAAAACCGAAGGCAAACTGCAAAACAGCTAAGGAACACTCAGCCCCTCCCAAACGACCAGGGTTCCTTCTTCAGCGCCCCGACTGTATCCTTTCCGTCGCAAGCGGCGCCCTGAGCCAGACGTCACCATGAAGTCGCAGTGCACTCGACATTCCTGCAAAATGCACTCACATCGATAACATTTCACGCTACACATCTGCACCCCAGAGTAGGTTTTGGTCCCAGGCCCACTTGCTTATAATCCCGGGGCCCGAAAGCGGACCCCAGACGCCGAAATCAAGGAAAACCGCCGCGATCGAAAAAAACATGCCGTTGGCTGGGGAGGCGAGTGCGGCCGAGGAGGATGAGGAGGCACCGTGCTTCCCGAGGCTGACGTTGAGGGCAGGAAGGGGGGAGGAGGGTTGACGAGGAAAGGGGGGGGTGAGGGTGAGGAGGGCTGAGAAGGAGCGTCGAGGCGGGTCGAAGATGTGGAGGGTCGAGGAGGAGGAGGGTCGAGGAGGAGTAGGGTCGAGGAGGAGGGTCGACAAGATGAGGAGGACCTCGTCGTACTCGACGCCCACGACCTCCACGGTGGCCGGGGGCGCCGGCGCGTCCTCTCCAGCGGGCGCCTTCGGCGGCGGGGCCGCCACGTGACCAGGCCCCCACCTTGGGCCGCCAATTAACGCCCTCCCTCATGGTTCCTTCTCCTCCTCCTCCTCCTCCTTCTCTTCACTCCTCACTCCTCCCTCCTCCCTCCTTGCTCCTCACTCCTCACTCCTCCCTCCTCACTCTTCACTCCTCACTCCTCAATCCTCATTCCTCACTCCTCACTCCTCCTCATCCTCCTCCTCCTCCTCCTCCTCCTCCTCACTCCTCCTCCTCCTCTCTCTCCTCATCTTCCTCCTCCTCCTCCTCCTCCCCTCCTCCTCCTCCTCCTCCTCCTCCCTCCCTCCCCATTCCTTCTCCCCCTCCTCCTCGTCATACTCCCTCCTCTTCCTCCTCCTCCATCATCATCTTCATCATCATCATCATCATCACCACCATCATCATCATCATCATCATCAGCATCATCATCATCCTCATCAGCATCATCATCGTCATCGTCATCATCAGCATCATCGTCCAGATCATCATCAGCAGCATCATCAGCAGCAGCATCATCATAATAATCATCACCGTCCTTATCATGATCATCTCCAGCACCACCAGCACCGCCACCAACAACAGCACCACCATCATCATCATCATCATCATCATCATCATCATCATCATCAGCAGCAGCATCATCATCATCCTCATCAGCATCATCGTCATCATCAGCAGCAGCATGATCAGCATCATCATCGTCAGCATCATCAGTATCATCATCGTCATCATGATCGTCATCATCACCATCAGCATAATCACCATCATCAGCACCAGCAGCATCATCATCGTCAGCAGCAGCATTATCACAATCATCATCAGCATCATCAGCATCAGCATCATCATCATCGTTATCGTCATCGTCATTGTCATCATCAACAGCATCAGCATCATTATCATAATCATCATCATCAACATCATCATCATCATCATCATCCTCAGCATCAGTATCATCATCATCATCGTCATCGTCATCGTCATCATCATCATCACCATCATCATCATGATCATTCCTTCTCCTCCTCCTCCTTCTCCTCCTCCTCCCTTCCTCACTTATCCTTCCTTCTTCCTCTCTGCTCCTTTCTCCCTCCTCCTCCTCCTTCTCCTCCCTCCTTCCTCCTCCCTCCCCCCCTCATCCCTCCTTCCTTGCTCCTCCCTCCTTGCTGAGGAGGGAGGCGGGAGGAGGACGCAGGGAAGAAAAAAGAGCGGAGAACGAGGACGACGACGAACAGGACGAAGACGACGAACGAGACGGAAAAGACCATATGACGGCAGCAGCGGCGCCGGACCCCAGGGCTCCCCGCGCCTGCCTGCCTGAGCGGCGCCCACACCGGGCGCGGGCCCCGAGGAGGAGGAGGAGGAGCAGCAGCAGGCGCTACGGAAGGGGAGGAGGAGGAGGAGGAGCAGGAGAAGGAGCAGGAGGAGCACGACGACGACGAGGGCGAGGACAACGAGGAGGAGGAGGAGGAAAAGGAGGAGGAGGAGCAGCAGCAGCAGGAGCAAGAGCATGAGGAGGAGAAGAGGGCGGAGGACTGGGCTATTCTCCTCTCCTCCAGCACCCTCTCTCCATCTGAATGCTAGGCAGGAGCGTGGTGCTCAGAGTCCCCAACTCCTGCCGCTGCTCTGCCGCGTCAATCGCCCGTCCCGGCTCGAGGCGCGGGTGGGCGGGTTTCTAACTCTCTGACCTGGCCTGCAAGTTTGCAGGAAAGCCGCGATACGGGGCTCGCGGCTAGAGCGCACTGGTCAAAGGTGTCCCATTTCGTCATCGTCACGGTTGTAGAGGTAACCTCGTCATATCGATAGTGCTCACAGAGCCTGCAAAGGCATTTCCAGCGAGATAGAGGACCTCCTGGATCTCTGTGGGACTCAGATTGGTAGTGGAGCCTGTGGTAACCGCACCACGGGATTCCACCAGACTCGCTCCGACGGCGGCCGCGGCCGCGATGACGACTATCGAAGGAGCGTCGTCGGCCTTGCGAGTGACATCTCGGACGGATGTGCCAACATGAAATGGCGAGGGGGACAAGCTTTTTCAAGCCACAAATTCGAGGTTGCCATGCTCACAAAGAGAGCATCGATAAAACGGATCGCTACCACGAGTTCAGACGACCGTGGAGAGCTGCCCGTCCATCCACAAAGTCGACGAGATCGACAAGGACGCGACGCTCGTCAGTTGGAACAGGGTGCACGAATACGTGCTGGACAAGCTGGACTACACGAGCCTCAATGACACGAGCCTGCTCGCCGAAGAGTGATGTCTGAAAATGGGCCGGAACGTGGGGGAGACGGTTCAAGATTGGGCTGCCCGATTCGAAAAGAAGGAGCGCAGGCTGCTGACCCAGCTCCAGGACATCGACGGGGACGTCAAGGAGGTGATCGCGAGGCCACTTCGGACTTGGCGGTTTCTGAGGAAGTCTCGGCTGACGCCAATGCTGCGGGGAGAAGTGACGGCCAATGCCGGTGGCGACTACGACTTCGCAAAGACCTTCAAGACCCTGCTGACCATATTTCCCTCGGAAGCTTTGTCCGAGCTCCACAACAGGCCCAAGCGGGAGCGAGCCCTGTTCGAGGACGAGGCTGACCACATCGTCGACGACTACGAGACTGGTGGAGAATATGATGAGACATCAGAAGTGGTCGAGCAGCTGATCAGCTTGGCAGGCGAGGAAGATGATTATGAGGGAACAGCTGACGACCAGGAAGCGGACAACGAGGTGTTCGCACGGCTTCGACACGCGGGACGGAGCTTCAAGGACGGCGCGAGACCTGATCCGTCGACTGCGAGCGTCGAGGGATTACTACTCTAGGGTCGTTAATGCGAGGGCCAGACTGATCCGTCGATTACGAGCGGCCGCTGCCACGAAGGACAAAGGGACAGATCGGCGTCAGTCGGAAACACCCGCCTGCGGGACGCGGCGGAGCAGGCGTGGACATGGGCGTCCTGGCGGCCGAGTTCGCTTCGGGGACAACAGGGACCTGTCCAAGATGACGTGCATCGCCTGTCACAAGTACTACCATAGAGCGGTGTTGTCCGTTGCCGAAGACCGAGATCAATCAGGGGAACAGCAGCTCGACGCACAGTGGCTTCGTCCTGTCCGCCCTCGATGAGTGCGTGTAACTCCTGGAGCGCGATGGAATCTGGGCAGTTCTTGACATCGGGGCCACCAGGAGCCTTTGCGGAGTTGAGAGCATCGAGAACCTGATATTGGAGATGCTTGACTTACACCAGGTGGAGTTCGAGACCCATAGCGACACATGCTCGTTCACATTCGGCGATGGCCTCCACAAGAGATCGATGGGATCAGTGAGCGGCAAGGTGTTCCTCAGCGCCCAACTCCACGGCATCAGCCTGTCCGTGATGCCGAACCGCGTGCCCATCCTTCAAATCCTTCTGGGCATGAACATCCTAACGGTTGACCTGAAGGTGATAATTGACTGCAGCCGCAACTGGCTTTTGGTCAACCGACGCGATCTACTACTGCGAGCGTCTCTCGAGCAAGCACCTGGCAGTCAATCTGCCGACCGGCGGTGGTGGAAGGAAGTGCCAATTTCCTTGACTACGAGGCCAAACTGTCTGGCCAACGGCAGAGACGAACCCGGTTGTGCTGGAGGAGCAGCTCGAAGAAGCTGACGCCACCTGCAACTGCCCCACTGGGCGCTAGGGACAGTACTCCGTTCTGAGAGAGAATGTATCTCGATCGTCATCTACATCACTGGGGGGGGGGGGGGGGGGGGGGCGACCGTCACGATCTCGACGTGTACGAAACACCTACTAGAGTAACGGAAACAGCGACCACGGAAACATCTACTAGAACGACGGCGACTCGGAGCGGACCTACCAGAGCGACGGAAACTGCGACTCGGATCGGACCTGCCATAGCGACGGACACGCCAGCACGGAGAGAGGAACGGAAACAGGCCTCGACGAGCACGAGCGATCGATCTTCGGCATCACAGCCAGCGGAACTCTGAGGTCTCTGCAGACAGCAAAACCGAGCAGTTAAACCATCAACAGCATGGGACCTGCAGCCTCGCCCGGCCCAATCATCCAGGCAACAGTTACCCACACCGTCCATACTCGAGCCAGATGGCCTCGCTGCCCTTGGATGTCATGCAGCGGCTCTTCTCTCGGGCCGTGTTGAAGCAAACTTTTTGGTCTGCGGGTCGGGAGCGGGCCCCTTCCGGTCAAGAGCTAAACGGGACGCGGGTAGCCCTAATGGGGGAGACGGGGCGCGGGCGGGCGGGGCCTCAGGCGGCCGGAGGGCTCAGAAAACAGGCGGTGCCGAAGATCTGTTGGAAGCAAACAGGAAGATGCCGAAACTCCCCTGCCTCAGCACGTGCCTGGGCACACGCCGCGCGTGATGGCACAAGCCGGCGGCAGGATTGGGCCATCATCGGGGCAGCCGCCGCCTCCGCCACGGCCGGCGTGGAGCTACCATTATGTCGGGCGTGTCCCCCTACAGTGGGATTTTCTACGAAAAATTTAAAAACAAAAAAAAAAAAAAAAAAAAAAAAAAACTCAAAAAACAGTCCCCAGATTATGTTTGGACTATTTTTTGACCATTTTGGGGGGTATTCTTGAGTTTTCGTCGAAAATCCCCCTGTAGGGGGACGGGCCCGACTTAAAGCTACCATCGGACACGAGTGACGAGAGCGCCATCGACACCAACACCGTCAACAGGAGTGAACCCTGAAAGCTTGCCAGCACCACCGACGCCATCCTACAGGGCAGTTCTTAATACATAGGATTTAAAAATACATGATTTTTCATACATGACAAATGTTAAATAAATTCATGCATGAACTCATCGTTGTTTTTAGTACCAAATCCCTGCATGTTTAATACATGATCCGCACGCGGAGCATGTATTAAAAACGGCACTGTACAACCCAGCGGGGAAGTGCTTGGCCGGACCCGTTGCGGGTGCAGCTGCGTCGCGGGCAGAAGCCATCAGTGCCACCGCTAGATCGCCCCTCAGGGAGCTCAGGGGACACCGGGACTCCTTCATGCCACCGACTCCCTCACCGACGTCTTCGAGAGCACCGACAAGCCCGGCGTTGAGGGGGGCCGAAGCTGCGCCCGCAAAAATAATTAATCGCAAAAATGGTCGGTCGCGGCGCCCGGGCGCCGTGGTAGGAGCAGAAACAGCACTTCTTGGTGGTGGTGTCTAAAAATCGCTCCTCTCTGTATGGGCATCGCCCAAGGTCAATGGGGTGTTCGTGATGCGGGGCCCCAGGAATGACGATCGTGGGGTGCAGCTACCGCGGAGGGAAAAGCCACCAGCGCCTCAGGCCAACGGCCGAATCGGCTCGGAGCCAGGCCGTGGCCATGCGCTGGAGGCGCCTGACGATCAAGGTGCCGAAGACCGACCCGGACGGCCCCTTGGGATGCCTCCCGACCGACACGATGCTCGACGACTCGGAGTTGCCGGAGGCGGACCGCAAGCGGCTACGCTAAAGTACCTCGACAGCCAAGACCTACAGAAGTTCAACCAAAGCCTCGAGAAGGTGATGACGGACATCTCCCGCAGCATGCCTGAGAACACCATCGCCCAGACCAAGACCAAACGCGCGGAACTGATGGAGGTCTGCTGCCCAGAGAAGGCGCTGGGCGGGGCCCAGGTACGATGTGGCCTCTTCAAATGCGTTCGACGTGGCGACGGCTACTGGAGTCAGGCGAGCAATACGCCTACTTCGTCGAGCACGTCCTCAAAGACTAGTGCTCAGGCCGTCCTGCACAGCGGACCGCCCGCTCCAGAACCTTGACCGCGCCTACGGCCTGCGCGAGCCACGGTCAGGACTGGTGACGAAGAAGGCCTAACGAATCTGCTCGACGGATCCCGAGTGCGGACAGAAAGTTGACCGGCACTGCTCGAACCGACCTGGACGTGGCGACAACCATGTGTACCGCGCTAGCGAAGACGGTCAGGTGGTGGCCCAGACGGCGTACTACCTACCGGCCATGTGCTGGAAATGGGCCAAACACATCATGCGGAAGAATGAGAGCGCTCAACACGGTATGGAGATCTTGGCAGCATTGGATCAGATCACAAAGGACGCGAAGGCTGAGATGGATGAGGACGTCGAGGACGAGACCATGCTGGACGCCCCCGACGTGGAGGACGTCACGAATGTCACGTTCGAAAGTTACCCAAGGTCGTGAGAGTGGCCTCGGGTGTGGAAATACCCTCTGTCTTGGAAGTCGTGGTATCGGATAGCGTGGAATGGCTAACGCAGTGACAATCCTCACACATCATGACACTGAACCTGGACGGGGGATCTGGCCTGACAAGTGTTACTTACCATGGGCAGAATGGCGAAAAGAGCACCAACAGATCGGTCACCGATGTGATCAGCACCTGGGAGTCCTGATGCAGTCACTACTAGGGGCCAGCCTCCTTCGACTCGACCCCGAAGGTTGCCATTGCGCACAGGTCGTGGCTAAGTGGACCTTCGACCGCGGCATCGAGCTGTGCATCGCCCCTGGCGAGGAGCACTGGCTGACGGGCAAGGTCGAGCGGAGGATCCAGATCTTCAAGCGGCTGATGACGAAGCTCGTGACCCTCGACCCGGAATGTCCCATCAAGGAGTTGATCACCTGGGCCGTGAGCGCGATCAACAGCATAGACAAAGTCAGCACCACTCGCCGTTCGAGCACGTGATGGGGGTCACTGGCAGCAACCCGCTCGCCGTCATCAACGGGGACACGGAGAAGACCAGCGGCGGTTCCTGGCGAAGAAGAGCTACCTGGAGTGCGAGCACGTCAAGAGGAGGCGTCATGCTGAACAGGCCCGCAATCGCATCTACCAAACATGGAACTCTGGCGACCTGGTCTACTCTTCGTGTGAACGGGAAGTCCGGGAGAACCGACAGTGCAAGAGAAGAGGCTGGTGCGGCCCCGCTCGGGCCCCCGTGCAGGCGAAGAGGCACGCGGATGGGCGGACGCGGGCCACGTCAGTGGTGCGGATAGCTTACGGGAACATCCTGTTCAGGTGCGCCCCAGAGCAGTTGCGTGCGGCCTCCGATGCCGAGAGGATGCTCACCGAGCTGCAGCGGCAGGCGAACCTCGGGCAGAGCATGACGGAGATCCTGCAGACAGCAAAGGCGGGCACCTACGAGGACCTGCTCGGAGAAGGGCGCCCAGACCTCCAAGCCTACGAACCTCCACAACGCCCCAACGTGGAGATCTCCGACTTAGACAGCGACGTCCCCGAAGAACCTCCTGCCCAGGCGACGGATGACGGGGAAGAACCACTGGCGCCAGCCGAACCCTCGAGGGGGACGCCACCAAGCTCTATGACCCAGCCAGAGGCTGAACCGAGAGAACCTATCGACGGTTCATGTCTCAATCGGCGGCGAGCGAGGAAGGGAAATGAGAAGGAGAAGGCGTTCTCAGAAGGCGGCGGGACTTCTCGGAAGCCCTCGCACCCTCTGAGAAGCTCTTGCCTGTCTTCGGGGAAGGCTTCGGAAACCTCTCAGAAGGCCGGCGGACTTCCGAGCCTTCTGAGAAGGCCTTCTCCCCGACCAGCCATAACTGGGGGAGCTGTGGTCCTTACCCACCTGGGGGAACCCATCGCATCGACGATCTCTCAAGAGGGGTGTCGAAATCGATGGGTCCCCCAGGGGGGTAAGGACCACAGCTCCCCCAGTTGTGGCTGGCCTGTCTCCTTCCCCTCGCTCGCCGCCGACTCGAACAACCGGCAGCACCTGCTGCACCACGGGCACCGAAACCCCACCGTCGGCGACGGCAGCCCCCCACCTGGGCCGACGGCGGGAGGGCCCTCGG